TACGGCCGTAAAATAATTAATCACCGCGTCTTCAATCCGACTATACAATTATTCGTCCTTGTCATCGATCACATCTTGTTTAAGAAAGGCTACTTAGTTATCCACTAAATAACCGCGGCCTTTCGCATGGACACATCGCTCATTGCATATCAATCTCAACCGCGTACCAAATTAAGCAACCGCGTTAAGCAAAGCGATTGGCGAAAGACCGAGTTACACGTTCAAAATGTCTAAGCAGGAACCTTGGACACCAATCAGTCACTGAGTGACTTTAACAAGCATTGCGGACCATCTGCTCGATAAAATCGCGACAAAGGATGCTGCGTCGTCTTTTCTGCTGTTTATGAGCCACATACGAATATATGAGATGCTTCGAATTCTTCGGCTAAATTTGAGCGACAACTTTCTTCCAACAAAAATCAGACTCAAACAATTCTTGAATAATTAAGAATGAAAATGCTCATTGAAAGCACATTTCTTTACATACGATATCAATACGACAGTAATATCTTTTCTCAATTCTTCAAATTTCAATATATGAGAAGTAAAATCCTATCGAAAGATAAGAATCTGGCATCAATTCAGATTAATTAAAAAACTTCAATTTCTTTTGATCTGCAACATTAGAAGCAACAGATTGTAAACGGCCCGTTTCACAATCGAAACATTAATCTCTCTCTTCTTGTATAGATAAAATTATTATGCATGCTTCACCATAACATAAACCAAATGATTCGTAATTTTAAATAAACCTTACGCCCATCGCGTACATAATCGCTTAGTTGCAAAATGCACGAACGCACGCACATACACATACACAAGAATCTCCTAACGACTTCTTCGAAACGTCAACCTTGAAATAAAACACAGCACAGTTCTCGAACGAGTTACTTATTTCACGTAAATAAAGTATCATTATTTTATAAACGAAAACTTTCCAAGTAATAATAATAACAGAAGAGTCCTTAAAAAGTTATGAAGTAATCACGAGTAGTTATCTGTTTATTATTACGCTCCTATTCTTATTACATTCTATTTTTATTTTGTACATATTAATTTATAATACAAGCTCGCGTACATTAATTTAAAATTAACATCTATTTGGTATATAACTAATTAATTTTTTACATCCAATGAAATCGTATGCAAAAGATGAATTTTTTTCCTTTTCGTCTATACAGTTATCAGTTAAATTATTATTTGTAGATTATAAATAAAAATATAAATAAAAATATAAATAAAAAACAAAAAATTGGATAAAACCGGAGAGATAAATTTTCCCTCTGAATCTTTCTTCAATAATTAAGTTCAAACACGTGTTAAGAGAAAGCGAATAAACTGCGTCAAAGAAGAAAAATAAAGCTAAAGCTAAACTAGGTAGGGTACGAACCGCCGACGGGGCATCGAACTTTTACTCTCAACAGAATTATGTATACTGTATATATACAGCGAGACGGTCTATGAATCGTTCGATTACCTCACCTCGTAGTCGCAGAAAACTGCTAATGTTGGGTGTCCCCAGACCTGTCAGAGAGATAGAGAGCTTTAATCTACGGATCCTTTGATCAATTTAGAGTCATTTGCACGACAAAAATACTAGTGAACTGCTTTAGAGTTACAATTCAAAAACAATTTGAAATCGAACATTTTTCGGGAACTAAACTTAAGGAAT